AAGGCAGAGGCAATCCGACCGACCCAATGGGAAACAAGAGAGCTGGTCAGTCTGGCCGTTCCTGCTTCACGACAACGTTTCACTAATAGACGCGCGCACGAGTAAGCTGATGGAGAGAACATCCACGCAGAAGAGTCTTCTCAGAAGAGCGAGATAATCAAGACCTTCGGAGATGGGAAACTCGGACATGGCAGACGACCACGGGCGCTCTTCCACCTGCTCAACATCAGTAGGCACATAAAAGCAGTGATCATCAAGCTGGTAACGGATACCAGGGAGACGTCCTCGAGGCATGGCGGTAACGCACCATGGGATACTCGCCTCGCGTCGGAGAACGGCGGGGGGCTTCGCTGAACTGGCTGCTGAGCGTGATGTTCAAGCCGGGCGCTGGCGCCGGAGAGGCGACGGAGACCTGGGAACGAGAGCTGCTCGAACACGAGGAGCAGGCTGAAGACATCCTGCCCGAGGCCCTTGAAGCGAATGTGCTGGTCCAAAGGCAAGAGGGCGACAGGCCCGAGTCACACCTGACGCTCAACGCGAACAGGCCGATCGGATGCAAGGAGACACAGAAGGAGGCCTCGCGCGGTGGGTGGCCCAACAGACTCCAGAGGTAAAGGCAAGATCTCCAAGGGCAAGGGCAACGATGACAAAGGCATGTTTAAGAGCCAGGGTCGGCGACTCCAAAGGGTGTGGTTTGCAAAGGGTGTGGTTCGCAACCGGCACCCTGGGGAGGCACCCTAAGGGGGCGCGCGGGGACCTCGATAGACTTCTCTCGCGCCCCAGGGAGGCCCGACGAGAACAGTGCCGTGCCCCCCAGGCCCCAACGGTGCCGATCGCAAGCCACACCCCGGCGTAACCACACCCTCTGTAGTCGCCGACAGAGGGGCAAACACTCGGAAGGCAAATGCCAGGACAGTAAGACAAACAAGTGGTGCAATTGGTGCCGCACGACAGGGCACACGACAAACACGTGCAGGACGAAGCGCAAGTACGACCAGCGTATCAAAAGCCGCGTGAACGACCACCGCAGGCAAGTACGTGTTCGTGACAAGCAGGCAGTTCGGCTCCGACGACGATGGGGCCCAACGACTCGGCGTCGGCGATCAACATCATACCTGCCAACGCGCTTGCTCAGCATCACCTGGACACGGCGAGGAGGCCAGCTATGTCTTCGGCTGACGCGGACAATGCGAACACCTCAGTTACGGCAGTCCTAACGCCTGTACTACCGCTGGTCAAACTGGAAGGGCTTCAGGAGTACGACTTGCCCAACATAGACGATGAACAGATCTGCATAAGCATGACCTGGCTCACTGCGATAACAAGCAGAACGAGAAAGGTATATGAATATAGACAGCGGCTCTGGAGCTACGGCGTGCCCGCCATCGTTCGCGCACAAGGGCACAGTGGGCTTGACCTCGTAGTGCCATCCCAGGGAGCGACCGCCACTTGAGGCAACGAACGGGCAGGCTATCCGGCAGGGGTGTCTGTTAGATGATCTTCGCGACGTTCGACCTGCGGCAACAGTCTGGCATCCTGAACTTTGAGCTCCAGGTGACGGGTGTGAAGTGCCCAATCGTGTCAAGTGCCCGATCGTGTCCCAAGTTCGGGGCATGCGAGAGCTTCCACGAGTCTCCGAACGGACGCTATTTCATGCATCGGGTGGCTCCAGGTGTGGTGACGGCCGTGCAGCCTACGATCACCATCGCGGCGCTGAAGCAGCCTGAAGAGCAGATGCCGGTTCCCATGTACAACAAGGGGCCCACAGGTGTACCTGGCCCCCAGGGTAGGTGGAGAAGCAATTCCCCCGCCACCACCTGTACCGTCGACTGCGGATACCTCCTCGGGACCGAGAGCCGCGAGGCAGAGGGACTACGTGAGATCACATCCAAGCAAAGAAAGCGATCGGCCTGGATGACAGCCCCGAGAGCAGAGTAGCTCAAGCGAAGGGAGTGCCGACAATGCCACCGCACGCTCAGAGGCAGCTGCATGGACTGACCCGCTGGCCATACAGGATGGAATACTCATTCCCAGGCTTGCGAGGCACCGACGACGCGATGACGCTGCTGGTGTGCCTAGGCTACGACTCGGCAACGCGCGAGAGTGCACCGTCGACTTCGGGATCGAGATGGTGGCGCAGGCGCTCCAGTTCAGGGCGCGGAAGCGGATCGCGCTGCCCAGCGACCAGGAGAATGCGATCACCTCCCTGGCGCGTGCAGCGGCAGGCGAGAGGTCCGATGAGACGGCGCTGCAGGTCGGCCACCGCAGAGACTCGAAGTCGAAGGGCCTGACCGAGCCAGCAAGAGGCCGAGTGCGGCAACTGATCCCCGCCCTGGCGTTCATGATACATGATTGGCACAGAAAAGGGACGAGTGCTTGCGAGATCGATTACTAGACGCCCCGACGAGAAGCGTTGGAACCGCGGCTTGTTCCAGCAAGCGGTCTGCACACCCTTCGAGCCGAAGGCGTCGTTGGTGGTGGCAGAAACTCCGAAGAAGTCGAATTAAATTGAAGTATCTCACCAGGACAATACGGGACAGGCTCGGACGTACACCAAGGCGCCAAGCATGTGAGGAGGCTGGGCAATACCACACAGCAGAGTGCCGCACACGCTTGGAGACGCTACTGGAGTGCGAGGGCATCGAGAAGGCGATCGCGGCCCAAGCAGGACCCAGAGAACAAGGAACTCGATCGACACGAGAAGCCATGCCGCGGGCAGCTCCAGCGGCAGAGGCGAGCAGCCCAGCAGCACCCGCTGCAAGGGGAGAAGACGCAGACGAGGCGATGGAGGACGCTACAGAGCTTACCGAGATGGTGCAGCAAGTCCCCGTCACGATCTCCGAGGGCTTCAAGCGAACGATCTCATGCAAAAGAATGATCTGTGAGAGTAAGAAGGACTTGCGATCGGTGGTCTGGCTTTGTGCTTCACGCTTCCCAAAATCTGCATAAGACCTCAACGAGTGCTACGGCACCCCAGTCACGGACCAGGACTCGACGGACACCAACGGCACGTTGTCGGGGGAGCAGTTGCCTGTGCAAACAAAATGTCAGAAGGACGAGCCCGAATTGCCTGGCGTTGCCGGGCATTGCTTGGCAATACTCGCCATTGACTCACTTTGCTTGGCATCTCTGTGCATTGCTCGGCATGACGTGGCGTTGCTCGTCATTGCTTGGCAACCTGGAGAACGCCTCTTCAAAACAGAAACTGGAAATAAATTGGCCTGGCGAGAGAACCAACCATATGCAGTTGTGAGTAACGCACAAGTGATCGTTTTCGGTGAAGCTCCCTATGAGGCCACGCAACGTGTGAGGGACGTACCGATACGGGCGCGGTGGGCGCATGCGAACGCGTGTGAGGGGTGTGCCGAAATGGGTGCGGTAGCGCCATGCGAGCGCAGCTTCTGGGGCCTTCGGTGGAGCTCCTCCTCCTCCTCCTCCTCCTCCTCCTCGTCCTCCGCCTCCTCCACCTCCTCCCCATCCTCCATCCTCCCTCCTCCCTCCTCCCTCCTCACTCCTCCCTCCTCACTCCTCACTCCTCCCTCCTCCCCCCCTCCTCCCGCCTCCCGCCTCCCTCCTCCCGTTAGTCGTAAGTCGTCCGTTGTCGGCGTCGAGGTCGTCATCGTCGTCGTCGTCGTCGTCGCCGACGTAGTCGTGCCAACCACCAGCATCCAGAGCACCCCCGATCGGCGGCACTGGCCGGAGGCCATTCAAATAAACAAGACCAAAGAACCCGGGGAACCCGAAGACCCCAGTCAAAGCCAGTCGTCAAAAACAGTGAAGAAACAAAACCAGGGAACCCGAGGAACCTGGGCAACAACTGCCGGCGCGGTCCGGGCACCAACCCTTAAACAAAGCCTACTCAGGGAAACATGGGGCTTCCGTCCGAGACTGCTCTTGACGGAGGATATCCACGTGCTGCACCGTGCCACGGCTGCACGGCTGGGGGGCGGTTCCTTTGCAGAGCGGGGCTGTCGTGAGGCACCTCCTTGAGCCTGAAAAACGCCAGACCGTGCCACACTCTTTTGGCGGCGCGCATACAGGGGGGTAGGGGGAGGGGGGAAGGCTTCGTGGACGCACCCTCTCCAGACGGACCTCCCGCATCTCCTGGCGGGCCCATGGCGCGCTCGTCTTCCGAGGGCGCGCGTTCGCGCTGTTGGCCAGCATGTGGGGGGGAGGGAGAGCAGGTACCGATGCCGCTGATCTCTGGACCTCTCCAAGGGCTGGCTCTGACTGGGATTTCGAGGCGAGTCCGGCCGTGGCAGCAGGAGAAGGATGGCGGCTTCGGTATCTTTTCTTCTTCGGAGTATGTCTGTAGCTGATGATGAGAATGGGGACTTGGAGCGGAAGGGTGTGCTGAAGCATCGCTGATACGTCTGGGCCTTGCCCTGGTCCTTCTCCTCCTCCTCCTGTTTGTGCTTCTCCTCGAGATCGCCAGGCCGAGAGCTCGACTAAGGGGTCCAATGGCGAGCACCCTGGGGTCACAAGGTCGAGGTTTCAACCGAGCGAGGGCACCTGGCCTGTGGCCGTGTCGAGATCCTGGCCACTGAGAAACCAGCGAAGGTAGAGAGTGCCATCGCCCCAAATGCGGGCAATATCTCTATGTATATCCACTGCGTCTCGGATTGTCGGACTCCATTCCAAAGAACCCCGCGACGCAGCAATGGACATGGATAACAATCAGGCCTCCAACGAGACCTGACTTTTATCAGTATCCATTGCGTCTCAGAGTTGTGGCTTCTCTTCCCAAACATCCGACACTTCGTGGATATGGACATAAAGTTTGACACCATCCTACCCTTCCTCACTATTCTCCATGCAGAAGGGGGAGGGCCAGGTAGAGCTCTCGCTGTGGAAATGGGGAGCACTACGGATCGCCAGGCCCTCCCCCTCCCCCACGCCTCCCCCTGCTCCTCCTCCGTTCACCCCGGCCCCCAGCGAGACGTCCCAACTTACATCCTCCTCATCCCCGCTGAAGCTCATCCTTTCCCTCCACGGGGTGCTGAACATGCTGCTGATAAACCAAGAGAACGACACGAAGCCTGTTAGCACCACAAGGATTGCGAAGGCGCGCTCTACGGCATTGACAGGGACCACGTTGTTGGTGGCAGGGGTGAACTGGGTGATCCGCAACCGTACCAGCGGCAGGTTGGAGCGTGTTGAACTGATCGTCAATTGTCTGACAATGCTTGGGAATGTTTCTGGGCCAACCCCCAAACCGTGGGAACGAGCAAATACTAGACCGCCTACGAGTGTTCCTCCCAAACACAAGTGTCGGCCTCTCGACAAATCCAGGCCAGCCAATGATCGCTTCGAGTAGCTGCAAGACGCCCAAAGACCACCCAAAGCCGGCCCAACGATCATCAATCTATTCCTGGATCTCCTCCAAATGCCCAAGATAGAGCCCGATCAATCTCCAAGATTTCGATTAGGTTTCGGACCCCAGCGATTGAAAGTTTTTCGCTTGCCTGTGGACACAAAGAAGAGAGAGAGAGAGAGATAGAGAGAGAGAGAGAGAAACCCAAAAAAAGAAGGCGAGACAGAGAGAGGGAGACAGAGAGAGGGGGAAATGCAGGCAGACAGAGAGAAATGCACAGAGAGAGAGATAGAGAGAGAGCGAGAGCGAGAGACAGAGAGATAGAGACAGACTCACTCGCCATTTGCCCTCCTGCTGCTCCTCCTCCTCCTCCACCTCCTCCTCCTCCTACTTGTCATCTCCCCATTCGCCGTCGTCCAACTCCCTCTCCTACCATCCAGCTGCGAGGAGTAAGGCGGCGCGCATAGGATTGTCAGAACTCTGGAAACGAGGAAGCAGTCCAAAGTGGTGGCGGCAAAACCTTTGGGCCAACTCTTGAGATGAACCAAGTAACTAACTGCAACAAACCATAACCACATACATCATGAACCAAGTCCCCAAGAGGTCCCCAAGAGCACACCAAGAAGCCACGCGAAACCTCCACGGCCTTTCCCGACTTGGGCTTTGTGTACGGGGGTCTCACGTGTTTGAATGACCAGTGGGTGCGAGGCCTGCGCCGCAGGGCGTTCCCTCGGGGATTCTTGGCTGTGTTTCCTTGCCGTGCGTTCCTCGGGGCTCCTGAGCCTCGCTTCCTCACTGTGCGTTCCTCGGAATGTTTGGTGTTGTTTCCTCGCTGTGCGCTCCATAGGGGTTCTTTGCCTTGCCGTGCGTTCCTCGTGATGCGTTGTTCATGTGCAGCGCGCTCATGAAATAGGAAGCGTTCCCCAAATTGGGCTCGCGCAGGTTTCACTTGATCTGTGGACCACTTCCCGCCAGCCTTCATGAATGAGATCGTCCAGCGGGGGAACGGGAAACGGCGGGCGTACGAGACCCTACTTGATGCTGAGCCTCGCGTTCAGGACCCGCGCGAGTCTGCACGAGGCTCTGAACTGCAGCAGGCCTTCAACTCCCAAAACGACCCCAGAGGCCCCCACGAGGGCCCAGAGATGGCCCGAGAGGACCCAATGGGGGCCTCCTCCTCCTCCTCCTCCTCCTCCTCCTCCTCCTCCTCCTCCTCCTCCTCCTCCTCCTCCTCCTCCCCAAGAAGCATCCAAGACGGCCCAAGAGGGCCTCCCGTGGGACCCCACAAGGCCTGAGAGCCCTTCACCAGCGGCCCCCAGACCCAAGACGGCCTCGGCTCGTTCCTGCGGCGCTGCTGCGCTTGCACGGTGGCGGGTGGCGGGGCTTGCCGCAGGCAGCGGGATGCTCCAGTGGAAGGCGACAACGTAGCAGTGGACATGCCACCCCAACTCGAGGCCAACCCCCTCCACCCAATTCCGCTCCATCCCCAGCGAGGGATCGGTGCCGTCGCGGATGCTGGCGATTCCGTACCACGCACATGCAGTGTAGTGGCAAAGGCAGAGCAGCGTGAAGACGGTCTGGAGGACCTTCAACAAGCACTCAACAGGCTCGGATGTGTTCTTCGACATCAGACCTCTGAAAACCAAAACAAATTTATGAAGACGGACGAGGCGGACAAGACGAAACAGTCTCAAAAGCCGCACAGAACGCGCAGATGAAGTGAAACTATATATCGCGAATGCGATATCAAGGCAGAGCACGGCAACGTCCATCGGGAGCCAAGTGCGCGCATACTTCAACATTGTCTTCGCAATCCTCATCTCAGTATGGGTTGCAAGGTGGAAGCCTGTCACGCTTTGCAAAGGAATATCCAAGGCCCAGAAGCAAATGTTTAGCATCGTGAACGCAAAAGACTCGTAGGTCCACAATCCAACTGTGTCCAACGGGATTACGACCAGATCATACAGGAGAAGCGTTGCACCAAGGAGGCACCATGCGACTCGTCCGACGCTATCAGGAGGTATGACAATCCAGTCGCTTATGGCTCCTCTCTGTTCGAACTCGTATCCAATAGCACTTTGCTGACTCGCAAGCTGAGTCGCAAGGCGGGTATCGCCCTCGTGGTCGTGTTCACTGACTCGCGAGGCCGCGAACCTGTTGGATTCACCAGAAGTTGCATTCTCCGCCCCGCGCAACTTCATAGGCCTCCAGATCGAATGCGGTTTGAAACTCTGCTCCACCACAACACACCCAGGTAAACGCGGCCTGGTAGTCCGCGTCACCACACTGCCCATGAGCTGCGCGATGCCCATCTCGGCTGGAAAGCGCTCTGTCAGCAGCCCGTCGACCACTCTGGCCCAGTTGGCAGCCTGGGGCGGCAGCGGCGGACTGCCGAACCCGAACGCGGAGGATGCGTCAGAGGGCTCGTGGGACACGCCGTTCCAAGAGTCGTCCAGACCGTCTTCGAACGCGGGGAGAGACTGCATGGTCTCTGGCCCGTCCTCGGGAGCGGGCAGCGACGACAAGGCCCACGACGAGGAAGGCCCGCCCGGGCCCCCACTGGACCGCCTCCGCCGCGCCGGGACCCTCCCCTCGCTCTTCGCGCCCGCCGCACCTGCGACGACGCCACACGACAACGGCAGCACCGGACCTGCGCAGGCCCATCCCGGGCCAGAGACATCGGCGCATACGGCCTCCCGGCTCGGGCCGGGAAGGCGCACGCACACCGGCTCCGAGCCCAGGAATTCCGCCCGAGCAGGGCCGGGCGCGCGTGTGCAGTTGGCGTCCTCCGACCGCCCGCCGCCGGGGCCCACGAGACTGCGCCTGCGGCGGCGCCGCTGGAGCGCCGCTGGGACAACGCCTCTGCCGCGGGCGGCCCACACACAACATCCACAGCAATGCGGGCCGCACTCCTCGGCCACGACCCCATCTGCGCGGAGACCCGGGCAGGTTGCGTCCATGGGATCGCGTATGTATCCCAAAGACCGCGCCTCGGACTCCAGACCGCGGCGGCGTGGATGTGGATGTGTTCGGCGCCCGTGGGGGAATTCGAAAAGCCATACCGCGCCTCCCCGGACCTTTCCGAAGGTTGCGGGTTGACCAGAAGTCCACAGCGAATCCTGCCGCGGCAACGACGGCATCCCCCCGAACCCCCAAAAACAGGCGAAAACGACGGCAGGGTTGCGGTGGCGCTGGCACGTTGTCATTCCTTCTGAACTCGCGGGCCTGCCCCTGCGAGGGCGCCCACTCCTCCGAGCAGCCCCGCTCGAAACCTGCCACCAACCTCTCCTGCAACTCGGCCAACTCGGCGGCCAGGAACTCCCGGAAGGCCTGCGACTTTGCAGCCATCTCCAGGCGGGCCCCCAGGAACTCTCGACCAACTGCTCCTCCCCCTCCTCCTCCTCCTCTTCCTCCTCTTCTTCCTCCGCCGCCTCCTGTTCCTCCTCTTTTTTTCCCCCGCTTCTCCCATCCCTTCATCCTATCGTCCTCCTCTTCCCCCGCCTCGTTCCCATTGAACATCATGAATCAGTGTTAGGCACCATGGACCCCAACAGCGTACTTTTAGCACTACAAGTCGTGCAATTCATGTCGAGCAATATGTGTGATACTAGCTATAGGGTGGCAAATCTCCAATCCAATATGTGTGATGCATGGTGCATCTTACGCGGTGAATTTCACCAGTGTCCACCGTGAGTTGTCAACTCCATTGCCCCACCAATCATCCCACCCACCAACCGTCAACATGGTTTGCAAAACCCATGCGGCGGCGATTGCAATCAGTGCTTGGAGTTGGTTGGTGCGTCTCTGCGGCCGCGCTAGCCTGCGCATGTTCGCGCGCGCAGCGACCAGCTAGTTTGGCGCGACCGACGCGGCCGCGGTGGCGCTGACCGCTGGGCACTTCCCAGCGACTGCGAGTCGGCGACTTGGGCGGGCACGGTATCGTGGCAACGTCGACGACGGTAGACGCGATGATGATGGTAGCGATGCTGGTGACGATAATAACACCGACGACGGCAACGCCAGTGACAGCGCCGATGCTGATCACGCCGACGACGATGACGGCGTCCTCGCGTCGGTGATGAACGCTTTGCAGGGAGTTCGATACGCGCGCGCGGCCGACACGCAAGAACGGCCCGCATGGTACGCGCGCAAGGGCTTTCGAATGATTTCGCCGTGCGGCGCGAGGGGCCTAGTCATGTGGGCGAATTGAGTGAACATGTAAAAAGCCCATGACTGCCACAAGAATATGAAGGAGCGCGAACGCAGGCATTTTGGACAACTGATTTTGCAAAACCACGTGTTGTGTTATGTGTTTCCGGGACACTCGGTTTTGAAATTTTCGGGACACTCGGTTTTGAAACCCCTGCGAAACCTTAAGTTTGCCAAAGATTCCGGCATGCGCGCGCGACGACGCGCGCGTGCGCATTTCATACCATGTGTCGTAAGGGATTCTTGCGACAACACGCGCGCAAGGGCGTCGAACGAACCGGACGTGCGTGCGCGAGAGGTCCGCTTGGTAGCAAGTTAGTAACAGGCTGGAAAACTTATGACTGTTAAAAGAATTCGCACGAGCCCGAGCGCAAGTACTGCTTTGAAAAATCGTGTTGCGAAACCTTGTGATCTGAAAATTTTCTGGAGATTCGATATTGAACTCCTTACGAAACCGAAAGGAGTGATTGAAGGACTTCGGCATGCGCGCGCGACGACGCGCATGCGCACTTCGCCCCATCTATATGCAAGGGATTGTTGAAAACTTGTGACTTGGCGCAACGTTTTTTTGCAGAGGACGAGGGGGGTGGGGCGGATACTGGCCTGTTTGGGATGGTGGGGGCCGGTTGGTAAGATGGACAATGGGGTATAATCACACGTAAATTGCAATACGAGGAGGGGGGCCGTTGATTCCCGGCGGGGGAGGAAGGGGGGGGGTAGATCCTACGATTCGTTAAACAGATGCGCGGTGCCATCAACGTAGTGCAAACTACGTGGTGCAATTAATCGACGTTGCGCAGTATATGTTGTGCAAACTATGTCGTGCGATATATGCTCTGTGCGAATGTGTGTATATATATATATATATATGTGGTACAACCTAGGCGGTGCAATCTACTCTGTGCATTCTATGTGGTGCAACTAATTTCTGTTCGCAGTGAATTGTCCACTCCACTGCTCGCGCAAACATCCCACCCACCCACCCACAACTTGGCTTGCAAAATCTCTTAAGACTGTGACGGTGGGTACCAAATGGCACTTGGCAGCGACAGCGACGCCGACGACGACAGCGACAACAACGACGACGACGCCGCCGACAACGACTACGACGACACCGACGTCTTCAACGACTTCGACGACGCCGACAACGAAGACGACGACGACGACGACACCGACGACGACGACGTCGCCGCCGACGACGACGACGACGACGATGACAACGACGACGACGATGACAACGACGACGACGACGACAACGACGACACCGACGACGACGACGTCAACGACGCCGACGACGACGACGACGACGACGACGACGACGACGGCGGCGACAACGACGACACCGACGACGACGCCGACGCCGACGACGACGACGAAGACGACGACGACGTCGCCAACGAAGACGATGACGAGGGAGGAGGGAGGACGACGACGACAACGACGACAACGACGAGGGAGGAGGGAGGACGGAGACGACGCAAACGACGAAGAAGAAGGAAGGACGGCGACGCCGACGACGACAACGACGAGGGAGGAGGGAAGACGACGACGACAACGACGACGACGACGACGGCGACGAAATAGGAGGGACGACGACGAGACGCCGACGACGGACGACGACGACGACGAGGGAGGAGGAGGAAGGACGACCACGGCGACAACGACGACGGAAACGACCACGACGTCAAAGAGGACGACGACGACGAACACGAGGAACGACAAAAGACGACGTTGGCGACGACGACGACGACGACGACGCGGGAGGAGGGAGGACGACGACGACGACGACGACGACGACGCAAGAGCGCGCGCGCACGCTTTTGTTGAAAATCCGTGTTGCGAAACCTTGGGTTTTGTAGGTTTTTTGGAGACACGGTTTTGAAATCCTTCCGAAACAAATGGGTTTTGAAGGTTTTCGGCTTACGCGCGCGACGACGCGCGCGTCTGCACTTCGTCCCATTTTGCAGAGGATTCTCGCGACGGCACACGCGCAAGGGCGTTCGACAGATTTCGACATGCGCGCGCGAAGCCCGTTTAATAGCATTTTGTGAAAATCTTGAAAAACCTATATTGTTTTCTTTTGATTTCGCAAGAGCTCGCGCGGAAGTTTTTTAGCAAATCAGTGTTGCGAAACCCTGCGTTTTTGTATGTTTTTTGGAAACTCGATTGCGAAATCCTTCCGGCACCGACGGTTTTTGAAGGATTTCGGCATGCGCGCGCGACGACGCGCGCGTGTGCACTTCGTCTCATGTTTGCAAGGGCTTCGTGACAAAATGCTATGTTAGAACAAAAAATGTCATCGCATAGTGTTTTTTACAAGGGGACCTCAGGGGGGGGAACCCGGCACCCCTGGGATAGTGTAAATTCATATGTAGGATGGACATGTGGTCATAATCATATATGGTTTACATACCCGAAAGGCGGAGTGATAACGCCGGGGGGGGGGTAGATCCTATTCTGTTTTTAAAAAGGAGAATCTACGCGGTGCAATCCACTTCGACTGTCTTGAAGATGTCCTCTCCACTGCTCGTGCAAACATCCCACCCTCCCACCCGCAACTTGGTCGCAAGACATCTTCAGACAAGACCGTGACGGTAGGTACTGCGTGGCACTTGGCCACGACACCGATGCCGACGACGACAGCGACATCGACGACGACGGCGCCGCCGACAGCGACTGCGACGACACCGACGACGTCTCCAATGTTTTCGACGACGACAACGACGACGACGACACCGACGACGACGACAACGACGCCGACGACGACGACGAAGACGACGACGACGTCGCCAACGGAGACGACGACGAGGGAGGAGAAAAAACGACGACGGCGACAACGACGACAACGACGATGGAGGAGGGAAGACGGCGACGACGCCAACGACGAAGAAGGAGGAAGGACGGCGACGCCGACGACGACAACGACGAGGGAGGAGGGAAGACGACGACGATGACAACGACGACGAAGACGACGACGACGGCGACGAAATAGGAGGGACGACGACGAGACGCCGACGTCGGACGACGACGACGACGAGGGAGGAGGATAACGACGAGGGAGGAGTGAAGACCACGACGACGACGACGGCGACGACGACGGCGACGAAATAGGAAGGACAACGACGAGACGCCGACGAAGACAACGAGGGAGGAAGGACGACCACGGCGACAACGACGACGGAAACGACGACGACGCCAAAGACGACGAGGAAAGACAGAAGACGACGACGGCGACGGCGACGGCGACGACGACGACGAGGGAGGAGGGAGGAGGACGACGACGACGACGACGCAAGAGCGCGCGCGCACAATTTTGTTGAAAACCCGTGTTGCGAAACGTTGTGTTTTTGTATGTTTTTTGGACGCACGATTTCGACATTCTTCCGAAACCGAAGGTTTTTGAAGGATGTCGGCATACGCCCGCGACGACGCGCGCGTCTGCACTTCGTCCCGTTTTTGCAGAGGATTCTCGCGACGGCACACGCGCAAGAGCGTTCGACAGATTTCGACATGCGCGCGCGCGAAGCCCGTTTGGCTTCTTTTTTTGTGAAAATCTTGGAAAACCTATGGTTTTCGTAAGATTTCGCAAGAGCTCGCGCGTAAGTTTTTTTGTTTGAATCAGTGTTGCGAAACCATGCGTTTTTCCCCACATCCTGAGTGGGGTTCTTGTTTTCCCAGAACACCATCTCCTTCCCACCCACCTCCCGCTCCATCTTCCATACAGCACAATATTATTCCTACCACACACACCATACCATACCATAGTTCCTACCACACATACCATACCATACCATACCATACCATACCACACCATACGTACCATACCGTACCATACTATACCATCCCACCCTCGGAATACCATACTATTTACACGGTTTCGTGCCCCTCCTACCCCTCCAGGGAGGCCCCGCCTGAGCGAGGAGGGTATCGGAATACCATACTATTTACATGGTTTCGTGCCCCTCCCACCCCTCCAGGGAGGCCCCGCCTGAGCGAGGAGGGTATCGGAATACCATACTATTTACATGGTTTCGTGCCCCTCCCACCCCTCCAGGGAGGCCCCGCCTGAGCGAGGAGGGTATCGGAATACCATACTATTTACATGGTTTCGTGCCCCTCCC